GGTTCTGCCTACGTTCTCAGTAAGACTCGTCGTCGTTTTGGCCCCGAGTGGCTTCGCTCATTACTCATTAGGCTTGCCTGACTCAGGCACTCTCGACCGCATGTGCTACATCACCATGCACTGTACAACCCATCGGCACCTGTCGCTTCCGCAATTGTAGCTTCTCTGCATTCATTAGGGCTTTGCACCTCGGTTACCGCCTTTCTGATCAGATCGCGCCATTCACGCCGTTCAACTGTTTTCGATTCTCAGGATCTGCAATCAAGATTAGAACGTGGGAGGTTCACTTTTATCATGTCCTGGTAACGTAACTTTGGTTTTCCCCACGTGCCGCTTCCCTGCACTCAGTTGTCCATACAGCAGCTGTTGCGGTATCCGCGCCGAATCCATACACCACACATGACCGAGCCACCTTGTGTCTCAGCAATAGTATGCTGTTCAATGCATATATTCCACTTCGGCACAACACCATGTCTGCAATTGTCGCACCAACGGATGCGCAAAATCCGTCGCAGACGCTGTTGATGAAACCGCTCGTGATATCTCACATCTTGCCGGCACCTCGTCTCCGTTTCGCTGCCGTATAGAAGAACGGACAGCACCATGGATTTGTAGACCATCAACTTCGGGCCGATGGTAAGCTGGTAGTTTTTCCACACTCGGTACCGAAGCTTTCCGAATGCCACTGCTGCCTTTGAGACGCAGATACGAAGTGCACTGTGTATCTGCTGGTCAGGCTAAACCACTCCCAAGGTAGCAGATGCCGGAGGTGTCCAATACTTCGTCACTATTGCTGATTTTCGGCAATATTGCTGATTGCACCTTCATCGTCATCATCATCAACAACAGCAGTACATCAGCCATTTGAACTGATGCTTTGTTCCAATACAACCACGATGACCTATGGAATGAATAATAAGAGGAAGAGAAGGGGGACTTACCTGAAGACCTTAGTACCCTAAGCAAACATTCAGGATTAAGGCGCTTACACCTTGTGTTAACAACACACCGTCAGAAACAACTGGCTATCGTGCAAAGATAAGGCGGCATCGGCGAGACAGCTTCCTTGCGGCTTTCACTGCCCCGCGTCATAATCAGCCATTACCCCGCAAATAACAGCACCAAACACTTGCAACAGACAATCCGATTAGGAGACGATAGCAGACGCGCCACTGGTGTCGACTGTTACCCATCTCACGTGGGCTCCAACCTCAAAGATGAGAGGGACCAACGGCACCGAGTTTGGTCGTCAGTGACTTCATTTCCCGTTGTCAAGTCAACTTCTGTTCACCTCGAGCGTTGCGTCACCCTATATCTGACAAACAAAACAAGGCGCTCCTCGGTAAGCAGTGACCAGGTATTCGTAGTACTTGCCCAAACCAACGCAAGTTATTCAGTGCTGTCTATTGATCTAAGGAACTAGCTTGGTTATTACTGCCTAGTACTCGCTTACGCGGATCATCCTTGCGGACACGCTGGTTCCATTGACACCAGTAATGCTCCACAGACAACAATAATCAAATACTTGAAGGCCCCTCAGATTTTCAGACTGAAGTGGCCAAGTTTCACTCCCATAGAGTAGGGCGGCCCTCACTGTGTCCTTGTATACACGACATTTCAGACGGATGGAAACTCCTGTCGCCAAAGATGCCGCAGGTTCAAGAAGGCAGTTCTGGCCTTTGCAATGCGTGAACTGACTTCAGTTTCTATGCGCCCATCGTTGCTGATGCAGCTGCCAAGGTAAGTGAATTGATCAACCACTTCGAGTTCCTCGTTATCAAGGGTCAAGGGGTCATAAAGTCGCTGGTGGTCCTGCAGCAACACTTTGAGGGTGCGGAGCTCATATCAAATAATGTGACCACTCTATACAGGCTATTCGGAGTTGATTATGCCCCCGCAACATCGTCGATAAATAAGGCGATATCGTTCGCATAAGCTAGGTTAATTAACCTCTTCACTTCAACGCCTACATCGTGAGATTCCGCAAGGGAACACTTTATGATAGAGTCAACGATGAAATTGAACAAAAATGGGGAAATCGTACAACCTTGGCGAATGTCACTTCTTGTCGGAAAGCTGTCTGACAGCTCACCGTAGATCTTGACGTGGCATGTGATGTTCAACTATAGAGCATGTAAGATGTTCACATATTTCGTGAGGACACCTTTTCGCGCAAATATTTCGAACATAATGCATCGATCGACCGAATCGAACGCACTCTCGCAATCTTGGAACACAGCTATTTTCGGTGTGCGGCATGCATGACGCAGCCCTAGCACCTACCGCAAAGTGAATATATGGTCTATACAGCCACGTCCAGAGCGGAAACCTGCCTGTTCTTCCCTACTTCGAGATTCCCGTGACCAAACTGGACCTTGCCGTGGTGCGATGGTTTGTGTGCCTCACTGATCCATTGAGCTATGCTGGGTGGTGCTTTTTTCCACCTTCAGAGCCACTCATACCAGATTAGTCAGTGGTTGGAGACCAGACAAACTCAGTCGGCCAGGGGCCGAGTGGTCTGCGCATTTGGTTTGCAGCCATAAGGTCACCGGTTCGAATCCGCGTAGGCGTGGGCGTCCTCGCGGTATACTCAGCCCGCGCGCGACTGGTGGTCGCGCGGCAGCGAAGCACCCTTACGGCGTACAGCTGACACATTATTTATTATTTTAGACAAACTGTCACCTGGCCGTCCAGGTTGGAGGTTGAAGTGAGGGTGGCTCCTTAATTTATAAAACGGGCTCTCTGTAGTCCAATGCCAAAACCCTGCTGCCTTGCAGGAAGGTTTTTTAACCAAACGCTTTGGTTGAGAACCCTAGTCGTTCTCCTATCTAGGCCTGGACAACCTGACACTATTCTGCTCAAGCAATACCATGAACCTTTCTTCTAACATTTTCTTGATGCTCCGGCGGTCACAGGGGATAATAAACGGCGCTCTATCTGCTGCATCTAGCAGGGTGGATAGAGGTTTGTATGCAACCGATCTGGCCATTCCGCCTTCTTGTCCCCCTTCTTGCGCTTTTTCTTCCTTATTATCCCGCTCCAACGTTACTTTTATCCTCCCCCATTTTCAATCTGTAACTCTTGGTCCTCCCCCACCTTGGTTCAATAGTCGCCTGTCTTCCAGTTTCAACTCACACACAGTCGCAGGGCGTCGCTCCAATCCAGTCGACAAACTTATGTTCAACCAAGCGGACAACGTCTGTTCATCCGTTTTCCTTTGGAGTCCTCGAGTCTCACTAAAACTGACATACCTCAACGTGTCACTTTGCTGCAGCTTGGTCAACAGGCAGCACTTTCCTGCACACTAGAGACCCTGCCGATCGATATTCGCTGCTTGCTGGACTACCTCGTGATGCCAGCTGGGTGGTTCGGGTGTACCCCGTTCCAGCAAAGTGTTCGGCGACAATGTTCCACCTCGGTGGGGCATTGTATTCCAGCAATTGTGCTGATTTCATGGGGAGTATTAGGCCCCTGTTTGGTGATCTGCCAGACAAAGGTACATGAACTGAACATTCATTCAGCGTTTCTCAATGGGTGCGATTCCCTAAATTCGCCCCGCTGCCTTGCGGGTAGGTTATTTAGCCAGAGGCTCGGCGTGGAGTCTCCCAAGTCAACTCCCTACTTTTGCTTGGGCAACCGGGTAGTATCACGCCCTCTCTCAAAACCATGGACTGTACTACAACGTGCTCATTAGCTACTGCTTCTCACATTCACGCGACTTCAACACACGCCAATTGTTCGTTTGCTAACAATCCTCACTTTCCGTTATCCGATTCAGGTGTTCAACAATCTAGCTGCGATTTCGGTTACGCCGCGGACCAAAGAGTTCAATCTATGGCTCTCCTTCGTCCCCGATCCTCGTTCCGTCTGTCGTTCTTCAACTTTCGGACACTCATGCATATCGGACAGCAAACCGGCTTAGCGCACACCCTAGACATTGATGTATGCTGCCTTTCAGAAACCAGGTTGCAAGATTCCAGCATTGCTTACATTTACATCCCCCAGTGACCACGAAACCAGATCACACCTGCGTTTTTCTGGAGATCCAGAAGCAGCCCCAGTGGGTTTGACTGGTGTAAGTAAAGCACTAAGTGGCAAAGCCGAGGCGGCACTACTGGACTGGTTCCCGATTAACAGCCGACTATGTGCAGTTCGGCTTCGAGGTGCATTTAAAATCAACAAACGCCGCGAAGAGAGACGCAACTGGTTTGTGATCTCCGTGTACGCTCTAACTGACTGCAGTGGCGACTCGGTCAAGAACGAATTCTACCGGGATCTACATCAGCTCTTGACTAATGCTAAAAACTCGTATGTCGTTATCCTTGCTGGGGATTTTAATGCACGGGTTGACCGCCTGTTACCATACGAACGCCACCTTGGTGGTCACCACGCGCCTAATGAGAACCGCTCTGATAACGGAGAACGGCTTCTCACATTGTGCGAAGACAACCGTCTGTTTCTTTCGAGCACTAACTTCAGGCGTACGAAGAAGCGTTCCGAAACGTGAAGTCCCCCTTCGCCAACATATCCGTGGCCTCAAATTAATCACATTGCAATTAGCTTCAGATGGCGCGGCAACGTACTGGACAGCAGGTCCTTTTGGTCCACCTTCGTCGACTCAGCTCATACACTGGTCTGCGCGAAAATCTGCACGTGTTTTAGGGGGTCCAGAAACACGAAGCACCGCAAGATTGATGTGAACAAATTAACTGATTCCTCTGTCTAGGTGAGCTATCAGTCTTCACTGGCATATGCACTCAGTTGCAATCCACCACAACAACACCGGACTTGTATACAGAACGCAATGACCATTTCCGGACAGTCAAGCTGTGGCCTAACTCGACGCCCCCTAAACCCTTGGATCTCTGCAGCTCTTCGAACGCCGCAAAGATATCCCGGCGGTATCAGATTGCAACGAGCGGCGCCGTTCTGCCAACCGGCTGCTCAAGCAAAGCCTACCCAAGGATCGCGAGATATGGTGGTCTGAACGTGCTTTAGTGATGGAGACCGCTGTCCTCTCTGGCAACACTCGTAGGCTTTTCCAACTCATTCGGTCCACTGGCTTCAAGAAGTCTGTTGTCAGTGAGGTCATTTGTGAGGTGGATGAATCTCCGATTACCAACCAACAGAGGCTTATGGACCGCTGGGCCGAGCAATTTCACTCGCAGTTCAACTGGCATCCACCATCCATCAGTACATGCAGTACATCTTGTTGTCCACCCTGGCTCGTCCCACTGAATCCACCCAGCGAAGCGGAAGTCTGCCTCGAGATTCGACGCTTGAAGCGCTTCAAGGCTGCCGTCTCAGATGGACTTCCTCCGGAGCGGTTCAAGTACGGCGGCGTGGCGATCGTTAACCACCTGACCTCGCTGTTCGCAAAAATCTGGCATGAAGTGAGAGTGCCTTCCTCTTGGGGCGAATCAGTTATTGTCCCGATTTTCAAGAAAGTCGCTCGCACTTCATGTGTACATCATCGCTGGATCAGTCTTATTTCGGTTGCATCCGAGCTATTGGCATCCATTCTGCTTCGCAGACTGTCCCCAACACGTGAATCATACTACCGTGAAAAACAAGCTGGTTTCCGTCCTGGCCGCAGATGTGTGGATCAAATTTTTACACAACACCAGCTCCTCGAACATCGCCACATTTGTCACAGGCCCAGTATCGTTGCATTCCTAGACATACGTGCCGCTTTTGACTCTGTTGATCGACTTGCTTAGTGGCGTTGTTTGCTAAAGAACGGGGTTTCAGAGATATATACCGCTATCTTACGAGCACTTTACCTTCATATATCCGGCAGCGCGAGGGTCTGTGGCAAGCTTTCCTCGCAATTCGCTGTCAATAGCGGTGTGCGACAGGACTGCCCCATGTCCCCATTCCTCTTCAACTTCGCAATCGAAGCCGTTCTGTCGAATGCTCTAGAAGGTTCCCAACATTTTGGCCTAGAGCTTCTACCGGGTGAGCGCGCGACCGACTTAGATTATGCTGATGATATCGCCTTACTTGGTGACGATCCTCAGAGTATGCAACTCATTCTGGACCGTTTGGCAGTTGAAGCATCTAAGTATGGTATGAGCTTCGCCGCATTGAAGTGTAAAGTGCTGATCAAGAATTGACTTTCACCTGCTCCCGTGCTCACTCTCGAAGGTACACAAGTTGAACAGGTAGATAGTTTCGTTTACCTTGGAAGCTGTGTTTCTGCTGACGGCACTAGTAACAAAGAAGTTTCTCTTCGCCTGGCTAAAGCTGGATCAGCATTTGTCAATTTGAGGCACTTGTGGCGTCGTCGCGACGTCTCATTCTCGTTAAAGGACCGCATTTACAGCGTATCAGTTCGCTCAGTGTTGTTGTATGGGTGCTAGTCTTGGCCGATTCGCGTGGAAGACATGCGTCGTCTTTCTGCCTTCGATAACGGTTGCTTGTTGTGCCCTCAGGGGTTCGACTTAGCAGCTTCTTTAATTGCGCCACACGAGTCAAAAGACAACCCACCGGACGAGAAGTATATTTGCGAGACACAGAACGGGCCGACGTGGTAAAGAAAACACACCGTTTACAGTTCAAATCACGGCTGTTTGCTAGTTTGAATTTATCGATCTCAGCGAACCACGGGACGTGTGAGTGGTATGAAACAAGCGTTAGTAACAAATATTCTGCAACACAGAAAAGCACTAGACTGCTTGTAACTGAGACTGTTCTGATACAAAGCACACGGTTACTTGGGGAGATTGCGCACTTACCTTCCCTAACAAGTCAATTTGTTTCGTTTCTGTGCGCATTTGACTTTGGTCTGTGTGAAATTCTGTTTTTCCATGCAAGTTACAAGATTTGGTTTGAATAAGGGGCACTGACTCGACTTGATTCTCAGACGGCGCGATTTTCCTCGGAGCAGGCCGTTCGAGACCTAACATTGCTTAAGGAGGATTGCTCGTGTTTGGTGGCAACATCGAGTTAATAGTAATGACGTTTGACCTCGCATCTTGGGGAATGCGAGTATGTAGTGACCTGGAGATTTCCCGTATGGCTGAGTAAACTATTCTAAAATATATTCAAATTATAGCTTTCTCATGTATTAGGGAATTAAACGGTTTGCCTGTTAGAATGTTGTTCCCGTTTGTTGGAAACACGAATACGATCTCCGCCTTTGGCGCTCGACTCGACCGCGAACGACGCTCCGTCCACGCAGTCAACGTCTAGCTACATCCTCCCTAGTTAGCTCTCTTCTGTTGCCCTATTTTTAGCATTAGCTAATTCTCCTCCCGTCCAATAAACATTTCCTTAGTTTACCTTTGTGTGTTCTACCCATTGCCTTTGGTTGGCCGTCCAGTCTCTTGCCCAATATATAGCGCACAATCATCGCGCTATAAGTATTCCTTTCAACAAACTGGTTTTGTTGCGCCAGTTGAGATGGCTCGGTCACGTCCTACGCATGGCAGCTGAGCATCTACCGCGTCGCGCTGTATTCGCTCGTCAAGGACCTGGCTGGAGGTGACCGCGTGGTGCTCAGCCTTCTACATGGCGGCAGCACATGAAATCGCTGACGTCGTGTCTAGCCGCTGTTGGACCCCTACATCTTCCAGGTTAGGGACCCAAAGATAAGGAGTGCCAATGGCTTAACACTCTTGAAGACATGGCCCGCAACCAGAATCCCTGGAAGAATTGTGTACAGTATTGTGTTGCTTCACATGTTTAATACTCCAAATATTGAAAATGAAAAAAATCGGCGTGTGACAAACAAACAGAAAATGTGTTGTTCTACTTTCTGTCAAAGTGCTCTTTTCTTCCTGCGACATATTAGCTGAGGTGTGTTGCTCACCTTTAACTACTATGCCACCATGACTCCCTTATCCTCTGATCTCCTTGGTTTTCTGTTGGTTGTGTCTATTTGTTAGATTGTTGAGATCACACACACAGCCGCCTGCAAGATTCGAGCTCCGTGCTTACCCTGCCACCCCCCACATGCGACACTGTCGGCACACTCTCGTTGCGCCTGTCTGCCGATAATGCAACTTCAAATGATGGTCAAGCTGGCGTCAGCATTGTTTTGAGTCCCCGGGCTGAAGCTGCCCTGATCGACTGGATCCCATTCAACAGTCGGATGTGCGCCGTTAGGTTAGCTGGTTCGTTCCATGCTACGAAGTTGCACGGGAACAAACGGTGCCTGTTTATCATTGCGGCCTACGTCCCTACAATCTGTGGCACTGATTCGGTGAAAGATGTTTTCTATCAGCAACTTCACGATTTCCTTCGTTACAGAAGAAGCACGGGTACTGTGGTGTTTGGTGGCGATCTAAACGCCAAAATCAGAAAATTATCCTTTGGTGAGATTCATCTGGGCGGCTAGCATGGTGTAGGCTTCTGTAATGATGACGGTGAGCGATTGCTACAGCTGTGTGAAGATGTTCGTCTCTTTCTCGCGAGTACACACTTTCGACATTGCCCCCGCAGAAGCGTGACTTGGCGCCCACGAGCTTCGCACCAGCCATGGACGCAAATCGATCATATCGCGATCATTTACCGCTAAAGAGGCTGTGTTCAAAACTGTCGCTCGATTTGGAGCACGAGATGGACTCTAACCACGCACTTGTTTGCGCCGACCTCCCGGTGCGTTTCGGTCGACGTCCGCAACCTCGATTTCAACGGATTGACACCAGTCAGCTGGCGAAGCCAGGTGTCCTGTATGTGTATCAAAGTGCGCTGACATCCGGGCTGAGTAAGCACCCACTGGACACCGTCGAAGATCAGTGATCGCATATTCGTCAAATCTTGCTATCAGCAGGCATTTCTTCATGTGACAAATCAAAGTGCCAAACTGAACATTGGGTTTCTACACAGTCTCTGGATGGTCGCCGACATATTCCGGCCGGAAGCGAATACAATGAGACAAAGATTTCAGCGCGAAACTGCGTGCTAGCCTGAAGGAAGAGCACGAACTCTGATGGTCTCATCGTGCCTTGGAGATCGAAACAGCGCCTACTTTTGGTAACCATCCGTCTGATCCGGGAAAGAGGAAGCAGGAGACCTGGTGTTAGCGAGACCATACGCGACGAGAGTGGGTAGCTGGTCCACAGCCTGTCAAAACACTTGGAGCATTGGGCCGAACACTTTGCAAAGCAATTTAACCAACATGTTATCGCTCTCTTTTTCGGGCATTGAGTGTCCTTCCTAGGCCTTCCCCTTGAATTCGCCCTCACGCGGAGAAGTCGAACGTGAGATCAGGTTGTTGAAATTGCATAAGGCCGCAGGGGCAGATAGAATTCCTCCTGCCCTCTTCAAATTCGGGGGATCTACTCTAGTGGATGATTTACACGAGTTGCTAGTATAACTTTGGGAGCAGGAGACAGTCCCGACAGACTGGAGCCGCTCCCTCATAGTTCCAATTTTCAAGGGTGGCTGTCGTTCGGAATGCGGCAGTCGTAGAGGGTTCAGTCTGATCTCAATTGCCTCTAAATTGCTTGCGTCTGTCATTCTCCACAGACTAACTGACATTCGTGAAAACCAGATTCATTTGGAGTAACCCGGGTTTCCTCGAAGTCGGAGCTGCATCGATCACATATTCATCTTGCGTCAATTGTTGGAGCACTGATATGTTTATTGGACACCCACCGTTGTCTTGTTTCTCGACAACGTCGATCGATGTGTCCTTTGGGACTGTGTGCTGAGGTATGATGTGTATCCGGGAAAAGTTAAAAACATAAATGAAAACCATTGTTTTAACAATTAATTGATTATCTTCGATCGTGCATTGATTTCGAAGATTCCGGGACATTTCACTCCTTCACGTGATCACCAGCATACGGAGTTTTGGCAGGGAGGATACTACTTTTACCAGTTGACCTTCGTTTTCCCGAGGCCGAAGGTCATTGAGCCCCCTATATATTTGGCGTAGGTCTGGCATAGTTGTACAGCGTTTTGGCGGAATTTTTGGCCACGTTGGCAGCGTTTTTGTTAACACGTTTTTCGTGCTCAAGGTCGTTGGGCTTTTGCTTTCTTCGGCTGGGCTAGAAGTTTTGTGAAGACTTTCGGGTGTTTAATTCGGAATAGCTAGAAAAAGTGAAGAGATAACAATGGCGCCGGGCAAGCACAAAAATGTTACAAGCTTTTCTTCCGAACATCTTCAAAAGCTGCTTCTGCAGCAACAATCACAGATGGAAGCACAAATGAAACTGATTGAAAGTTTAACGCAGTGCTTGAACGTTCAATCAAATGGAGCAGCTACACGGGACACACAGGCTGTTTCACTTGATCTTCTTACGAATGCAATCACTGAATTTCATTATGATGCTGATTCCGAATGCACTTTCGGGGCATGGTTCAAACGCTGGGAGGATATGTTCCGGACGGATTTCAGCTGTCAAGATGATTCATGGAAAGTGCGTCTTTTGCTCCGCAAGCTCGGTACTAATGAACACTTAAGGTTCCTCGACCACATCCTGCCCAAAGAGCCGAAGCACATCACTTTCAACGAAGCAGTGGCAACACTCAAAGAAATTTTTGGTGAGTCGACGTCATTGTGTAGCATTCGCTATCAACGGCTAAAAATTGTTAAGTGTGATACAGACGATTATGGGGCACTAGCAGACATGGTTAACCGTGAATGTGAACGTTTCAAGTTACACTGTTTGACGGATGACCAGTTTAAGTGTCTCATATTTGTCAGTGCTTTACAGTCTCCACGCGACGTGGAAATCCGCACTCGGCTCCTTGCTAAGTCGGA